CAATGCAATGTCTTGCAAAAGGCATCAAAACAAACAATATTTTGCAAAAAGCAAATAGAAATTATTGAACTGTCAAAAGATTTGTGAGTGACTTGGAGCACATAAGATCTTGGTCAGATAAAGATTTATTAAAGGGTTCACCCAAAAATAAAAATTAGGCTGTGTTTTACTCACCCCCGATGCATCCTAGGTGTATATGACTTTCTTCTTTCAGACGAATCCAGTCGGAGTTATATTAAAAATTGTCTTTGATCTTTCAAGCTCTATCGTTGTACTCAGTGGTGTTGCATTGCTTCTATCCAAAAGACGTGAAATAAAAAGCACCTTTCCATAAAAAAAAAAGAAGTCTCGCACGGCTCACGATAGAGCTTGAAAGATCAAAGACAATTTTTAATATAACTCCGACTGGATTCGTCTGAAAGAAGAAAGTCATATACACCTAGGATGCATATTGCATGAAAACTGTGACTTGCTTAATAATGTGGAACAACCTCTTTAAAGGCACAATATGTAAGATTTTTTTATTAAAATATCCAAAAACCACTAGAACAGTGTCATATATTTTGTACTTATATTATCCCAAATATTTCGAAGAATGTTTGAATCCAGAGAAATAAGCTATTTTAACTAGTGACACGGACCGTGTCTCTAGTGTCATTGTGTCGCCTGGCAATGACGTCATAACGCCTCGATTTCCAGTTTTGTTTTGTAGAAAACATGGAAACACCAAAGGCGCTTTAATATGTTGTGCGTTTTAATAGACAGATGACGACCGCACAGAGTAGCATTATAACAGAACTTTCAAATGTATCTAGTATGATAAAACAGCGCTGCTTTACCCCACATACGCACGACCGGAAGCAGCGGAAGCGGTCGACCGTGGCATAATAAAAGCTCCGCTGCTTTCGAGCCATCTGTCACCCTCGTTCAGCTGCCTCGTTTCGCTTCGACGGCTTTCAGCCTCACCCTGCTTCATTCTACTACGTTAATAAATCATTAGCTCATCCATGAACATGATTTCTGCCCGAATCCCGTCGGATTGCATCGGCTGTGGGGATGAAGACCACAACTCCCATGATTCCACACTCAGTCACGGCGTCATCAAACTACGCCTTTGATTCTTTGTTTATTTTGAATACGCGCCCTCCAGCGGCGAAAATTACACCTTGTGCCTTTAAGTAGGGTTTCCATTTATCTAAGAAGACCTGGCAAACTATTAAACAAACCTGTCTGAGATTGATACCAGTTACCTGAAAAGATGTGAAAAACAACACAAACAAAAATCTGACTGTTTATTGTACCGAAATCCTATTGATATGTCACTTGCATAATAATTTGGAACACGGTGTATGTGTATGTGTATATGTGTGTGTATGAATGTGTATGTCTGGGTATGTGTGTGTATGTGTGTGTGTGTGTGTGTATGTATGTGTGTATGTATAAGGGATGTAATGGTATGAAAATTTCTTATCACGATTATAGTGACCAAAATGATCATGGTTATCAGTATTATCACGCTATTGTTAAAATATGCTGTAAATGTTTAAAAAGTTCTGACACATAAATCGTTTCACCAAGTCTTGCATTTAAAATCAACAAACAATAAATCAAATTACTTTGTTGCATAAACACTAGAACAATAGCATTACCAATGATGTCTGGATTTTAAATGACAACATGACTGACAACAGTTTATCTAAGAGCATGTACGAAGTGTTCAAATAAAGCTTTGAAAAAGTTTCATAAAATGGTAAACCTCACATTTCAGCCATTTCTGGGCCATAAAATGTTTCAGATGCATTGCTGTTGATTGCTATGGTCTAGTTTCACCTTGTAATGAAAATAACAAACCATTAAAGGTAACCATTAAAATGGTTCGACTGTTTAAAAAAAGATGCACACAAGCGGCAAGTTGATAATAAAAAGGGCAGATTGTTCCCCATGATCTCTGAGGTCAGTCTTGTTCATTTGTTGAAGATCATGTCAGCTGACTAGTTCACTTTGTCAGTTGAGACCAATGTATTAGTAAGAAGTATCTGTAGTAGAGATGAATGAGTGTCAGCCCATCAGAAATGCCTCAGGCAAAAGCTCATTAACTTGATTCAATTAATTGTTTAATAAATTAGTGGGTTTTTAGCCTGGAGATTTAATTAACCTTGATGTTAACTTGACATGTATTTACTTTTCTGTTAATGAAAGTGCTTTAACCTGTTCCTTCACCCTAATAGAAAATTGATGGTTCTCGGGGGGTCGTTCACACAGAACGCAACTTTGCATCTAAAAACACGAGATGCTGTGCTCCTCCTCCATGTTGTAGTCAAATAAAACTGTTGCCATGAAAACTTGCATGCAAACACAGGAGGTCAAATGCTATTTCATGCATTCTGACTTATTTACATTTTTTACACGCGCCACTCATCGTGTCAGTTCCAAAATAGTGGGCCAATCAGAAGACTCCGGAGGCGGGCAAGCGTTACAAGCTTTGTTTACAGTAAAAGTTGAAATTCTTTCAATGTGACATGGCATCTTAAAGACATGAGATGCAGGTGCAATGGTCATACACATCCGTATAGTGCATTTACATAGAACAACTATGGAAAAGTAGCGTATTGGAAATGTGTTCTGTGTGAACGGCCCCTAATGGTGTGATAATGTGGAATTACTGAAATTGGGTGTTTCTTGGGCATCTAATGCTGTATTGCCACTGTGGTCTGAAAACACAGTATTCACACACTATCACTAGCTTATTAAATTTGTCCGCTAGCAATGTGTTTGCACATACATCACAGAAGAAGTCTGTTTTTTGTAATGCAAAAACCCATCAGACTCTTAAAAATAAAGGTGCTGCACGATGCCATAGAAGAACCTTTTTGTCTAAATGGTTCCATAAAGAACCTTTAACATTTATCTTTCACAAAAGGTTCTTTGTGGCGAAAGAAGGGTCTTCAGATTATAAAAAGGCAAGAAAGAGATGGTTTTTTTAAAGAACCTTTGACTGAATGGTTCTTTGTGGAACCAAAAATGGTTCTTCTATGGCATCACTTGAAGAACCTTTTAAGCACCCTTTTAAAGAGTGCAGTGTAATTTGCAGCACATCTCAAATTCTGTGATGGAAATGACTCCTTTGCCTGACTACTAAGTTTCATAGCTTTTATGTATCCTACATTTCACAAATGACACAATTTCGATTTTACCATTTTTAACAATTTTTATTATGTCTTGCATATTCCATCTCAAGCATGCTCTTCAATGATAATGAAAACACTTGGTACACTTAATTTTGATGAAATATATTATAGTGGTTGACCGATATATCGCCAAGGCCAATATATCGGCCGATATTTGTCATTTTTTAAATATCGGCATCGGCCGATAAGTGTTTCTGCTTGGCCGATGCGTTCGAGGTGCGCCGGACTTTTATTTTGACGGCGCTGAGAATGGCAGCACCTGAGCATATAGTGCTCACATTCTCCCTCTGGTTCGCTGTTGTCATTAACAGTTCTGTCTAAATAGGAATAGAAGTCTGTCTAATAATCAGATAGAACGTTTAAACAAAGGAATTAAAATGTATACAAAAATCATCTTACAATGATTGCTTTTATATTATTAGTAATAGAAAGGCAAACATTATAATACTTTTCTTGTTTGCCGTCAGCATTCAGCAAATACGCATTTATATAATTTAAACAAATCTTTGAATGTCTAATAAACGTCTAATTTCAAAAACCTTGCGAACTTAGTCTGATCCAGTTGTGAGATCTTGTGAAGCGTGCATGTGTATCCTGCATGATCGCGTGTTCTCTGCGTGACGGTCGGTCCGTGTGAATTGAATGCGGACAGGAGGAGAGTTCAGCTTCACTGGAGACGCGCGATCGACAAACTTTAAACTTGTGATTTTAAATTATGCTGCGCTTTATGCATTTGCCCACTGCCATATTCATGTCATTTTCACTGTGTACTGTATGTAAAATGAGTGTTACCTTGGCTTTATTTAAAAAAATATGATTCCCAATGCACACAAACTTCCCAGATTACTTAGTGCCCTGTTGGTTACAGCATTTACTTTCTTTTTAATTATATTTTTATTAAATATTTATTTATTTGTGAAAAATACTTTGTCATCTAAAGTATAAGTATGTTTATTTAACACCATTTATTTTTTTAATCAATTTTCAAATGTCTTAAATATTAATTAAAATAAATAAAATTATATCGGCCATCAGCCTCCCTGCTTTCCAAGATATCGTCATCGGCTGTCAAAAAACCAATATCGGTCGACCACTAATATATTAGAAGTAAAACTGCTCTGTGTGGTGAAAATTATGCCACAACTGTTGGACAGTTGTATTTTTTTAATCGTTTAAGTAGATTTCACTTTAAAGTAAAAAATCAATTTAAAATATATTTTAATGTTTTGCTTGGTCGTTCTTTGTTTAAATTATGATACTTTTAAGCATGTATTTATTTTTTTTTATGGATTTTCCTAGTATAAGATTGAAAGTCTCTGTTCAGGACAAGAGTAAAACAATCAAATCTATTAATAAAAACCCTTTATTTAACACAAGGGTTATCTCAAAATTGTAATACAAACAAACAAAAAAAGAAGATTTAGAGTTCCCTGCTAGTAGATTTTTTTTGTTAACAAAATTTAATGAAAGCTCTTAATTACATGGGGAAACATTTGAGCTGTCTAGTATAGTTTGGTAGCTACTTTATGTATTTCTGTCTTTATCTGTCTATTCATATTTCTTTTATTTTATTTTTCTCCCTCTTGATAATGTCGTCATTTCAGATCAAATTTAAAATCCTGTTTTATTAGACGTAAGAGTTGGCTAGCTGTCCAGTCAACTTTTTAAACATTGAACCATTCATTTCTTTGAATTTAGTAGATTCTGTGGCAGAGCAGATTGTCAAACATGACTTGAATGCAGCATTTGTCCACGATTCTTTGCCTTTGTTAAAGTGTTGTCAATTTTTTAATCTTTTGTTCTTTTCATCAGGATCCGGCCGCAGATGGCAAAGGAAAAGATTGAGGGATGTCACATCTGCACCTCCGTTACTCCCGGGGAGCCCCAGGTGCTCTTGGGTAAAGACAAGGCCTTTACGTATGACTTTGTGTTTGACTTGGACGCTCGGCAACATCAGATCTACAGCGCCTGTGTTCACAAGCTGGTTGAAGGCTGCTTCGAGGGATACAACGCAACTGTCTTCGCTTACGGACAAGTAAGATCTACCACGCTTGTCTACACTTGGACAACTGATAAAATGACATTTACACTGATTGTGAACCAGAAATGGCAGATGAGTTTGTGTCGATGATAGCGGTCATTTGTTTTCTGCATTTACACCAAAACTCACGTTATCATCATTGACACAGTTTACACTTCTCAGCAGGTCTCTTATTTATATTATGCTTTCACTGTGTTAGTTTTAATGAAAGTATCATAGAAATCACACTGCAATAAGGAGATCCTTGCATCATGTGTTTAGTAGACATGACTGTGTTTAGCTGCAGTGAAACCTTTGATACAGTGGGATTTGATCCTGATTAGTTAATCTTAGCAGCTGTTATAGTAAAAACAGTAACAGTAACAGTCCACATGTGTGACTCATTTCATATGCAAAGATTTTAGCCAATCACAGCATTTCAAAAATGCATTTCATTGTGTGAAATTTCACTTGTGTGTTGTTGTGTATGATTGTATATTGAATGTTAGCATTGTATTCATTTTCATTCTTCATTGTGCATTGTAATGGGTTTTGTGCATGTTTTTGATGTTTGTTGCAGACCGGTTCAGGAAAGACCTACACCATGGGCACTGGCTTTGATGTAACCATGTCGGAGGAAGAGCAGGGCATCGTCCCACGGGCCGTGCAACATCTCTTCCAGGGCATCCAGAAACGCAGACTAGAGACACAGAGCGCCGGCATGCCCCTGCCAGAATTCAAAGTCAGCGCCCAGTTCCTGGAGGTGAGACTTCATCAAATATAGACCCTTTTTTTATTTATTTTTTTTGGTAGTTTTGCTGCCATTTATAGAGCCCTATGAAATCAGTTTAGTTTTTTTTTTCCCAAATTGGGGTTTGTTTTTTTTCTAAAAGCTGTTTTTTTCCAATTAAATTTTTCTGGATTCTGTTTTTTTCTTTTCTTTCCCCGTTTGAATTTTTCTACATTCTTTTAATGGTTAAACTACATTATAGTAATCAAAATTAAAGTTTAATTAATTTAAATCATGAATCGTGTCCAATTTTTTAAAAAGTTTAACAAAAGCAATACTTTTAAGACTCTTATTGTTATTTAATACTAATTGTTTTTGTCAAATTCTGTTTTATTTTGACCAAATTCTGTGTTTTATGTTTTACTTTTTCTGGATTCTGTGATGGTTCAATTAAATTGTAATAATAAAAAAGCATGTCTAATCAATTGAATTTATAAAAACGACTTAATGTATTACATTTTTTACAACAATAAGGCCCCATGATTTTTTTTTTGTCATAAATTCTGTGTATTTAATTTTTTTTGATAATCAAATTAAATCAAAATATTGATATATATATATAGTAATGAAAAAATAAGCTTTTAATAAAGTGAAAATGAAACGAAACCTTAATTTTTTTGCCAAACAAAGTGCTGTACAAATATAACAGATGTTTTGAAATTAAAGAACAATTGTGTGATTTATTTCTCAAAATAGTGTTGTAATAATTTTATAATTTGTATTATTAGTACCTTGAGATGTATATTCAACTGTCAAAAACTAATAGGCCTATATTTCTGTCACAATTTCAAGTTAAACCGAACTTTTATTTTTATGGGTTGCCATGATTATAGTTGAATTGCATTGAAAAAAAAAATTGTGTAGGATTTACTTGGAAACAATTGTCAAACAATTTTTTTTTATCAATTTTGCTAGTAAATTTCACTAGACACGATACGTATCACGATACAGAGACGACAAAGTGCTGTACAAATATAACAGATGTTTTGAAATTAAAGAACAATTGTGTGATTTATTTCTCAAAATAGTGTTGTAATAATTTTATAATTTGTATTATTAGTACCTTGAGATGTATATTCAACTGTCAAAAACTGTGTAGGATTTACTTGGAAACAATTGTCAAACAATTTTTTTTTATCAATTTTGCTAGTAAATTTCACTAGACACGATACGTATCACGATACAGAGACCACGGTACGATACATATCACGATACAGGACTGCACTGAATTTCACCTCAGCAGAATTTAGTGAAACAGCTGTTTATTAAACACTGCTTACTATAGTGCCATTTCTAACTATTGGCAGAGCAGGCAGCTGACCTCCTGCATTATGAAGGGCCTTCATAACTGTACCACGGTACAATATAGGTAATGGCATAAGTTTCATGTTTACATTGAGCACTCCCCACCATGTACAATATTCTGATTGTTTGCATCTTGTTTTTAAGCCCATAAATAATAATGTACTCGTTCTAATAAATTTATATTATAATGTACTCACTCTAATATATAAAAAAATCATATTTACATTGCTGGTAGGTTATCATTGCACAAATTAACACGCTCTCTACATTTAAAAAATAAAAGTAAAAATGAGAAGAGTTCTAAACTAATGCGCTGTCTTTTCACTGTATCTAACGCGCACACACACACACTCAGTCACTCACACAGATCACGTTGCGGCCGGACTCAGACATTCAGGAACAAACTTGCCAGGTTGACAAAGATAAGTAGCACACTTAGCAGATATTTCCATATTGTGTAAGTGGGAAACTCTGTTTCAGGGATTGCGTCTCTTTATATCAAGCAACTCGGTTTTGTTCCTCTGTGGCTAGATTAAACCTAGCCTATATATTATGCTCTATTCATTATTTTTTAGAAACCTCGCACTTTTCCACTCCGTTTTAAACGCTGCTCTTGTATTCAAATTAAGCGTGGTCCACTGCTGCACACGTGCCACAATATCGATACAGGGACAGCTGTATCGATATTAGTATCGTCAAATCTCTGTGACGATACATCGATACGACGATACGAACACAGCACTAATATTTATGACGATATAGAAAAAAATATGGAACAATATTTTATTGGTGATTGCAGCTGGCAGGCAGCAGCATTTATTAGTACAAACACAGTGAAGGGCATTTTCCATCCTTTTCCAATGAGCTACTGTCATTGATGACAGACTACCTGATTCCAAGTGTAAATCTATTGTCATAAGGTGGCAGAAGCAGCATTATAGTGCAATAGTAGTGACCAGTGTTGGGTAAGTTACTTTAAAAAAAGTTACTAGTTACTTCTCACAAATAGTAACTGAGTTACATCATTATAAAAGTAACCAATTACCACGGAAAGTAACTATTGCATTACTTAAAAAAAAATAAAAATAAAAAAAAAATAAAAAAGTTCAAAAATATCAAATAACTTAGGGACAGCTGTATCGATATTAGTATCGTCAAATCTCTGTGACGATACATCGATACGACGATACGAACACAGCACTAATATTTATGACGATATAGAAAAAAATATGGAACAATATTTTATTGGTGATTGCAGCTGGCAGGCAGCAGCATTTATTAGGACAAACACAGTGAAGGGCATTTTCCATCCTTTTCCAATGAGCTACTGTCATTGATGACAGACTACCTGATTCCAAGTGTAAATCTATTGTCATAAGGTGGCAGAAGCAGCATTATAGTGCAATAGTAGTGACCAGTGTTGGGTAAGTTACTTTAAAAAAAGTTACTAGTTACTTCTCACAAATAGTAACTGAGTTACATCATTATAAAAGTAACCAATTACCAGGGAAAGTAACTATTGCATTACTTAAAAAAAATAAAAAAAATAAATAAAAATAAAAAAGTTCAAAAATATCAAATAACTTACTCCAATATTAAATGTTAAATGAATGAAATGGACACTACATGGAATAAATTATGTTTAAACATTGTACACTAACACAAAACAACAATTTAAAAATACTTATTTAACACTGAACGCTTTTTAACATTCTAGCAGACATTATACCAACAAAGCACAATTTAACTTAAAATTAATAAGTTAGTAAAATAATATTTTGTGGCCATTTTTGAGACCCCCTTCTTGAATCCGGCATGCAAATAAATGCAGCCTTTCTGAGCAGAAGCACATTCTTTTAAAACATTAGAAAATATTACAGGTCCCAATTTGAACACTATGTGTGAATGTTATAATAAATGTATTAACAGAGCTGTTGTAATTATCATTATTATTGTCTTACTTTTTAATTTTATTTAACAGAACAACACAAATTACATTTATAAATGTTGATGGAGCTTTTATTTTGATGGAAACCTGCAGGAAGTCCTCAGTGCTTCTTTTTGTTGACAGCACAGCAGATTTATAAATTATTCTCATTACTAATTTGGGAAGATGCACGTATCACATTGTCACATGCCTTGTAAAAATTCATAAAAATGTTACTGAGCAACTGATGAGTAACAGTTTCAGCGCTGATTTCCCTCGCGGTTTGGACTTTGAACCCTGGCTAATGCAGCGCTGTTTGGACACATGCAAACTAGGGATGTAACGGTATGAAAATTTCTTATCACGATTATAGTGACCAAAATGATCACGATTATCAGTATTATCACGGTAATGTTAAAATGTGCTGGAGATGTTCAAAAAGTACTGACACACAAATCGTTTTACATTTAAAATCATCAAACAACAAATAAAATGAGTTTTTGTTTGCATAACTAAAACAATAACATTGCCAATGATGTCCGGATTTTAAACGACAACATGACTGACAAAAGTTTATCTAATAGCATGTTCAAATATCTAATGTAAATGTTCAAATAAAGCTTTGAAAAAGTTTCATAAATGGTAAACCTCACATTTCAGCTTTTAAATAAAGAAAAGGGTCAAGTCAAAATGATAATTGATTAATAAATGATTATATGTATTTATCTGCTCCATAAATAATACTAGATTACCTTATTGTTTAAATGTGTAGAATCCACATAAGCTTGTTTTTCATCAACTGGTCAAAATTTACAGCAGGGCATGCTAATTCAGTCCGTTTTTTTTGATCTACACACCTTTCATTTTTTAAGACTAAAACAAAAGATGGCTTACTTGTTTTTCATCAACTGGTCAAAATTTACAGCAGGGCATGCTAATTCAGTCCGTTTTTTTGATCTACACACCTTTCATTTTTTAAGACTAAAACAAAAGATGGCTTAATTTTTATTCTTAATTAAAAAGCATAACCACAATAAAACAGTAAGATACAATGACAAACTAGCTTATAAAACTTTTATTAAAAAAAAACAAATAAGACGAGGCATGGCATACACCACATGCTGTATTATATACCGACTAATAAATTACAGAACGTTTAGCAAACACTGAGGAATCAAATAAATAAATAAAAGAGAACCTCCGTAGCGTAATGTGAGGTAAACAGCAAAGATAAGATTTTTGAAAACAAAAAGAAAAGTCAAACTAAACTTGCTGTCGGTGACGGTGCTTGCATGTTTTTGTCCCACAAGAATACCAACATGTTCACCTTTGGTTTAAGAAGCGGTCTTTTACTTTACTTTAGCATGAAACCCATCCATCGTTTCCTCAATATTCGTTTGCTGTTTGATGTTTCTCACATGCAACAGAAATGCAGCGCTTATGAGTTAAACAATGCGGTGGTCGCGCCAGTGCGACCGCACACAAAATTTAGTCGCACTGGCAGAAAAAATGATCGCAAAATGCGCCCATTTGATCGCACACTGGAGCCCTATGCAATACAGTATTTATTTATCCTCAGTTGTTCAAATCGCGGTAATCGAATACGGTTATAGTGCTAATTAAAATATGAAACGGTAATACTAACCGTGGGGTGTTTTATCGCGATTTATCGTCAAACCGGTAATCATTACATCCCTAATGCAAACTCATGTGTGTATTAGAAAACATAACGTTCTGCAGTGTATTTAATTCAATATTCGTTTGCTGTTTGATGTTTCTCACATGCAACAGAAATGCAGCGCTTATGAGTTAAACAATGCGGTGGTCGCGCCAGTGCGACCGCACACAAAATTTAGTCGCACTGGCAGAAAAAATGATCGCAAAATGCGCCCATTTGATCGCACACTGGAGCCCTATGCAATACAGTATTTATTTATCCTCAGTTGTTCAAATCGCGGTAATCGAATACGGTTATAGTGCTAATTAAAATATGAAACGGTAATACTAACCGTGGGGTGTTTATCGCGATTTATCGTCAAACCGGTAATCATTACATCCCTAATGCAAACTCGTGTGTGTATTAGAAAACATAACGTTCTGCAGTGTATTTAATTGTTTAAGACCATTTCACAATTTTAATCATCATACAGTAACCAGCAACAATCACCCCTTCCTCTTCTCATCGGAAACATGAGATGCAGTGCTAAACAGTCTCTCGCTGTCTGTGCTTGTAATGTTTTTTTCGTCTTTCTCGGACAGTTTTAAATGCACTGCCGTCATGTTTGCTGCATTAGTGCACCGCCTCTATTTGATCGCGTCACGTCATTGTTCGGTACAATTTATTTGGTCTTTTTGCTTATTCATTGATATCGCGATATGACACTTTTTGATCATGAATAAAGTTTACCAGTGTTATCGTGGACTGTATGATATGGCACACCCCTACTTCCTATCCTTTGACTTGGACTTATTTTGTTTTTCCAGAATAGTAATTAAAAGTCTAAATTGTGAGTAATAAACTCACAAAAAAACTTTAATTATTAATAAATTACTAGTTGCAGTTACTAGTTGTTAAAAAAAAATTGAGATAAAAAGTCGCAATTACCTTATTACATAAGCTTCTATACTTGTTTCTGAGAGAAAAGACTGAAATACTACTACAAACTAGGGGTGCTCCGATTGATCGGCTACCGATCATTATCGGCCGATTATCACGTTGGGATGATTGATCAGCGGTCTCTAAAAGGCCGATCTCAAAAAAATGATCTCAAGCTGATGACGCTGCCGTGAGAGGTTTGGCACAACATGCAGCGGCACCGTCTCAGTCCCTGTCCGGCGTGGGTGAAATAATTATAATGCTGAAGGTGAGGTACTTTGTGAGACGTAATTTCACAAACCGTGTGAGTGAATCACCGCGCGCGCTCTCTTTCTCTCTCAAAATACGCAAATGGCTTCAAATCACCACACATCGCGTCTGTCTATAAGTGAGCTGCACGCTACACAGTTGACACAGGAATTGTCACTTGCACAGTCGAGGTAGTGTCACATCGTCACTAAAGTTTATACAAGTAAAGTAAAGTTTTTGCATTACTTTTTAATTCTTGCCAGTTGTTTAACCATTCAGCGCTCGCGCGCTCTCCTGTAGACCGTGCGCTCATGCACACTTGCAGCGCACACACATAATGCCAGGTTCAAATTACTCTGTCACCCCGTGGGTGAAATAATTATAATGCTGAAGGTGAGGTACTTTGTGAGACGTAATTTCACAAACCGTGTGAGTGAATCACCGCGCGCGCTCTCTTTCTCTCTCAAAATACGCAAATGGCTTCAAATCACCACACATCGCGTCTGTCTATAAGTGAGCTGCACGCTACACAGTTGACACAGGAATTGTCACTTGCACAGTCGAGGTAGTGTCACATCGTCACTAAAGTTTATACAAGTAAAGTAAAGTTTTTGCATTACTTTTTAATTCTTGCCAGTTGTTTAACCATTCAGCGCTCGCGCGCTCTCCTGTAGACCGTGCGCTCATGCACACTTGCAGCGCACACACATAATGCCAGGTTCACATTACTCTGTTTGCAGTGCGTGGTATGTGGTGCGTATTTTTTCCGCGCTCGTGTTAACGGATTAAAGCATTCACACTGCACACGGCAGTGCGTTCAGGAGCGTTGCGTCTGCAGCAGTGCAGAGATCGTTTCCGCACCGAGTCCATTTTCGCTGTGATGCACGCGCTGAATTCAAGTGACAGCACATTGTTAGCAGTACAAACTGTATGAAAACGAAAATGTAATATAATTAAAGTATACTGTCTTTCATAGTCAACACATATGGCTTGTTGGCTAGTTTTAAAGGAAAAGATAAACAAGGCAATAATAGATGGCACTCGTGGAGGTAGGAAAACAAAGTTCTTTACTTTTGCATTGAAATCTTTATTACAAGCAATCCTGCAGTTCATAAAGGCAGCAGAACTGACTATTTCTGTCAATGGTAAGTTTGTGATAACGTAAGAAAAGTAGTTTAAATGTTTTGCCACTGGCTTGAGCAACTTAATATATAAATCTAGAATTAAAGGCAAAAGTAAAAAGCATTGAATGATGTGTTGCTTATATTTATTGTGTTTAAACAGGTCTGTAAAAGATTGTATTACTGTACTGTGTAAAAAAAGAATTGCAATGCTGAAAAAGCATTTTCAGTGACGATGTTTGGATTTGAAATCAAAATAATGGAATGATTATAATGTTGGAATAAATGTTGTGTTTGTGGTAAACAGCCACGGATCAGTAGCGGACTCCTGTGTGAAACCTGCTACCCCTCTCACAAGAGACACATAAGAGGATAATTCCCCCCATTTTCAAAAATGAAATTCAGGCCCTGAATAAATGTCTAAAAATCCTGATTGAAGTATCACTATAAGTAGTTATAAATTATAAAAAGAAGGCTTTAAAAAGATCTGTATCGGTGATCGGTATCGGCAGATACTGCTTTCTGTGATCGGCCTCAAAAATCATGATCGGAGCACCCCCTACTACAAACCTACTGTTTTATTTACAACTTCATAAACTTTTTTCTGCAGTGTGTATTGGGCTGGCAGGCTGCGCAGACAGCAGTGTAGCTGTAAACCGATTAGCCCCTTCCTCGTGTAAAGTCCCGGCCTAGGTAATGAGTTTAAACCTGTAACGGGGCGTTTTAACGATCTGTGCTGCTTGCTGTCTGGCACAGGCTGCTGTTTGTTCAGCAGATTCACGGCTCGCCGTGGGGAATAACTCCACAGATTTGTCTCAAGTTCTGCGGCTGTGAACAGTCACCGTCCCTTGGGGCGGCTTTAATAGGGCATTAAAGTGCCCTTATTTCATTAGTCTTGTCCTTTCCAGAACTCCTTTGTGCACTTTGTGCATTGTTTTTCTATGTTAGCAGTTTGATTGATTGTTTTGAACCCTAAATTGATTTTATCAAGTCCCTCTGTGTCACTTCCTCAAGTGAGGGACGCTGGGAAAAGCCCTGTCCACTTGTTTTTCTTTTTTCATTTTCTCTTCAGTTGTAGTTTTGCTCATGAGTTATGTTACCATTATTTATCATTGGCTTGTCCATCAGCTTGTGTGGTCTCTGGGATTCCCGAGGTCGAACATGCACGGCTCTGGCCTATTGGCCTCTTTGACCTGTGCCCTCTGAAGGTCACTGAGTGTGTGTATTTGTCTTGCAGCTCTATAACGAGGAGATCCTGGACCTGTTCGACAGCACACGTGACCCTGAGGCTCGAGGCCGGAAGTCCAACATTAAGATCCATGAGGATGGGAGCGGAGGCATCTACACCACAGGAGTGACCTCACGACTGGTCAGCTCAGAGGAGGAGGTCAGATATCTGCCTGGGTTATTTACTGGAGTCATTTGAAGTCAGAATGACATTGACATTAATTGCTTAGATGCTCTTGGTATTATTCTGCATGATTCATCTAAAAATAGTGTTTTGTATTAAATGATCATTTAATAAAAAGGTCATTTGCTACAAGACCGTTGAGCTAATTACATTCAAGCCAACAATAAATGTAGAGAAAACAGCAGCATTTATAACACCGCATGAATATAATATATTGTACGTTAATGTTAATAATGTTATATATTTTTTTGTATATCACGACACTGTTATTGCAACAAAAAGAGATGTGTATCTGTGCATGGAGGAGTAATAATAATAATAATAATAATAGTAGTATATTAAATGTTGTTGTTGATCATATGCAACATTAAACATAATATAAATAGTATTATTAATAATAATAATAATATTATTATTATTATAATGTGGATAATAATAATAATAGTTTATTAAATGTTGTTGTTGTTGTTGATCATATGCAACGTTATAATAGAAATATTATTATTATTATTATTATTATTATTATTAGTTTGTATGTTAATTCAATGTGTTAATTAATAATTATTATAATTATACTTATTGAATAACAATAATAACAATACTTTATTATTATAATGACATATATGAATATATCTTTCTTCTATATCATATATAGATGATGATGATGATAATAATATTATTAGTTTGTATTAGGGATGCACCGATATGAAAATTTTGGCCGATACCGATAACCGATTATTCTTTATTTTTGAAAGCCGATAACCGATATGTTGGCCGATAAATCTATATCCAAATTGTTATATACTTTTTGAGAGCCTGATTACAAAAAAGGTCTCATCATTAAAAGCCACATCCCAAACACTTCAACATAAGCAGCCTAGTTTGAACGAAACGCATTCTATATGAGATAAATCAGATATACATCAAATAAACACAATATTACAATGTACAATTGCACAAAAGGCTGCAAACGAACAGCGCGCATCTGAAGTGTCTCTGAAGGAAATAATGCATTATTTATCGGCTTTAAGATATCGGCCAAATTTTCTTATCAGGCCGATACCGATAACAGAAAAAATGAGCCGATATGGGCCGATACCGATATGGTGGCCGATATATCGTGCATCCCTAGTTTGTATATTGTATTAAATAATACTACTACTACTAATAATAATTATTATCATTATTATGACATATGAATATTTCTTCTGTATTATATATAAATGTTTATAATAATGTTCTCATTAGAATGTTATATACATGACATTCCCAATCATAGTTATTAATGTTGTGCACTGCTGTTTGGGCTGCGTGTGCTGAGCTAAAGATGATCACCGGTAAACTGAAGCGCTCTTTTTAACTTAACCAAACGCATTCTATATGAGATAAATCAGATATACATCAAATAAACACAATATTACAATGTACAATTGCACAAAAGGCTGCAAACGAACAGCGCGCATCTGAAGTGTCTCTGAAGGAAATAATGCATTATTTATCGGCTTTAAGATATCGGCCAAATTTTCTTATCAGGCCGATACCGATAACAGAAAAAATGAGCCGATATGGGCCGATACCGATATGGTGGCCGATATATCGTGCATCCCTAGTTTGTATATTGTATTAAATAATACTACTACTACTAATAATAATTATTATCATTATTATGACATATGAATATTTCTTCTGTATTATATATAAATGTTGTTGTTAATAATAATACGTTTGTGCATTGTATTTAATAATAATAATAATTATGATTATATAATATGAATATTTCTTTATTTTGTATTATATGTAAATGTTGTTGTTAATAATAATAATAATAATAATAATAATTATTATTATTATTAAAACGTGCAGTTTTTGCAGAGTGCAATGTTATATAAACACTAGGGGAAAAAAAGTAGCTTGTTGCTGGAGAAGCTACATTGTTTTGACAACAGCTACTGTCACAGTTCCACCCTACATTATTTCTCATTGATTGTTTGTTTTCACTCAGAAACGTGACAGATGATGAAAGTGAAATGCTTTGTGAATGTAATTCTATTGTTGACTTCATGTTTATTTGCTTTAAATGGCTCTTATTACTTGATGACTTGAGTACAACAGAAAGCTTTAGTGAGTATAATAACAGTACTGCATGCTTTCTCCTCAGATGCTGCAGTGTCTGAAGCTGGGCGCTCTTTCCCGCACCACCGCCAGCACGCAGATGAACGCCCAGAGCTCTCGCTCTCATGCCATCTTCACCATCCACCTCTGCCAGATGAGAGTCTGCCCGCAGCCACAGGTACGGCACATCAACTCATCAGTCAGGAGCCGCTTTAGATGCTCACAGTGATGCCAACAACACCTGACAACACGCGTGAATATTCATTAAAACTGCATGCATCATGTTGAGAGCTATAATCCTAAACTACTGGATAAAGCCATTAACAAGTTTAAGCAGGTCGCAAGTTTTAAAATATTAAAATTCATAGAGCTCAGACTGCTGCGGTACAAAACAGAGCAATTATATAAAACCACTGGCATTAGAAACATCAACACTGAACATGTCAGTGCACATTGAAAATGCAGGAACGATGAAGGTTGTGCACATAATTTTGCATTTGTAATTTAAGATGCTTGTGTTAGTGACTTAAAGCTGCAGTTGTTTCTTACTCTTCCAGGTGAACGGAGAGATGAACGGTGTGTCTGATGGCTCCATCTCTCAGCCCGAGTATGAGACGCTCACTGCTAAGTTTCACTTTGTGGACCTGGCTGGATCAGAGCGGCTCAAGCGCACGGGAGCCACAGGAGAGAGAGCGAGAGAGGGCATCTCTATCAACTGTGGCCTGGTACGTGTGGTATTCAGACTACAGGGGCTTTCACACCGGGTTAGTTTTAGAAACTAGGAACTGGCCAACAGAACGGCCCCCTGACGGCTACATTTTCCCCTAGGGCCATTTTAAGGGGATTTGCATTACCCTGTTGATCAAGACACAATGCTTTGCTGTGTTTTGACGAAATAATACTTTTATTCAGAAATTATGTGTTAAACATATACAAAATTATAGTAAAGGCTTATATTGTTAGAAAAGATTTCTATTTTGAATAAATGCTGTTCCTGAAAAAGTATCTCAGGTTCCAAAAAAATATTAAACCGCAAAAACGGTTTCAAACATTGATAATAAATCAGCATAATTAGAGTGATTTCTAAGGATCGTGTGACTAGAGACTGGAGTAATGATGCTGAAAATTCAGCTTTGCAGCACAGGAATAAATTGTATTTAAAGTATACTAAAAATAGAAAACCACTATTTTAAATTGTAATAATATTTCACAATATAAATTTTTTCTGTATTTTTGATCAAATAAATGCAGTCTTGATGAGCATGCGACGACTTTAAAAAAAAAAACAATCAAATACTAAAATCTTACTTATCCCAGACTTTTGAATGTCAGCTGTGTATGTGTGCTTATATATACTGTACATGTGTGTGTGTATGTGTATATATATAGGGCGTAGTTTTGATTGGGGGGTGGGGTGGGGGATGGTTTGAAGTGTGAACTGTTTTAGTAGAGACCCGGGTCATGATCACTCATAAGGTTTATTTATTTGTTTGATTGCTTTTATATATATATTTTTGTGAAATTTAAAACTGCATGCATCATGTTGAGAGCTATAATCCTAAACTACTGGATAAAGCCATTAACAAGTTTAAGCAGGTCGCAAGTTTTAAAATATTAAAATTCATAGAGCTCAGACTGCTGCGGTACAAAACAGAGCAATTATATAAAACCACTGGCATTAGAAACATCAACACTGAACATGTCAGTGCACATTGAAAATGCAGGAACGATGAAGGTTGTGCACATAATTTTGCATTTGTAATTTAAGATGCTTGTGTTAGTGACTTAAAGCTGCAGTTGTTTCTTACTCTTCCAGGTGAACGGAGAGATGAACGGTGTGTCTGATGGCTCCATCTCTCAGCCCGAGTATGAGACGCTCACTGCTAAGTTTCACTTTGTGGACCTGGCTGGATCAGAGCGGCTCAAGCGCACAGGAGCCACAGGAGAGAGAGCGAGAGAGGGCATCTCTATCAACTGTGGCCTGGTACGTGTGGTATTCAGACTACAGGGGCTTTCACACCGGGTTAGTTTTAGAAACTAGGAACTGGCCAACAGGACGGCCCCCTGACGGCTACATTTTCCCCTAGGGCCATTTTAAGGGGATTTGCATTACCCTGTTGATCAAGACACAATGCTTTGCTGTGTTTTGACGAAATAATACTTTTATTCAGAAATTATGTGTTAAACATATACAAAATTATAGTAAAGGCTTATATTGTTAGAAAAGATTTCTATTTTGAATAAATGCTGTTCCTGAAAAAGTATCTCAGGTTCCAAAAAAATATTAAACCGCAAAAACGGTTTCAAACATTGATAATAAATCAGCATAATTAGAGTGATTTCTAAGGATCGTGTGACTAGAGACTGGAGTAATGATGCTGAAAATTCAGCTTTGCAGCACAGGAATAAATTGTATTTAAAGTATACTAAAAATAGAAAAACACTATTTTAAATTGTAATAATATTTCACAATATAAATTTTTTCTGTATTTTTGATCAAATAAATGCAGTCTTGATGAGCATGCGACGACTTTAAAAAAAAAACAATCAAATACTAAAATCTTACTTATCCCAGACTTTTGAATGTCAGCTGTGTATGTGTGCTTATATATACTGTACATGTGTGTGTGTATGTGTATATATATAGGGCGTAGTTTTGATTGGGGGGAGGGGTGGGGGATGGTTTGAAGTGTGAACTGGTTTAGTAGAGACCCGGGTCATGATCACTCATAAGGTTTATTTATTTGTTTGATTGCTTTTATATATATATTTTTGTGAAATGGTCTTTTGTGCTATCATCTATGCAAAGTTGGTTGATAATATAACTGCAATAAAGTAACATCCTAGTTATGATAATTACTTGTTTACATAGGATATATACGCTCACCGGCCATTTTATTAGGTACACCTGTTCAATTGCTTGGTAACACAAATTGCTAATCAGCCAATTACCTAGTCACACGATCCTTAGAAATCACTCTAATTATGCTGATTTATTATCAATGTTTGAAACCGTTTTTGCGGTTTAATATTTTTTTGGAACCTGAGATACTTTTTCAGGAACAGCATTTATTCAAAATAGAAATCTTTTCTAACAATATAAGCCTTTACTATAATTTTTTATATGTTTAACACATAATTTCTGAATAAAAGTATTATTTCGTCAAAACACAGCAAAGCATTGTGTCTTGATCAACAGGGTAATGCAAATCCCCTTAAAATGGCCCTAGGGGAAAATGTAGCCGTCAGGGGGCCGTCCTGTTGGCCAGTTCCTAGTTTCTAAAACTAACCCGGTGTGAAAGCCCCTGTAGTCTGAATACCACACGTACCAGGCCACAGTTGATAGAGATGCCCTCTCTCGCTCTCTCTCCTGTGGCTCCTGTGCGCTTGAGCCGCTCTGATCCAGCCAGGTCCACAAAGTGAAACTTAGCAGTGAGCGTCTCATACTCGGGCTGAGAGATGGAGCCATCAGACACACCGTTCATCTCTCCGTTCACCTGGAAGAGTAAGAAACAACTGCAGCTTTAAGTCACTAACACAAGCATCTTAAATTACAAATGCAAAATTATGTGCACAACCTTCATCGTTCCTGCATTTTCAATGTGCACTGACATGTTCAGTGTTGATGTTTCTAATGCCAGTGGTTTTATATAATTGCTCTGTTTTGTACCGCAGCAGTCTGAGCTCTATGAATTTTAATATTTTAAAACTTGCGACCTGCTTAAACTTGTTAATGGCTTTATCCAGTAGTTTAGGATTATAGCTCTCAACATGATGCATGCAGTTTTAATGAATATTCACGCGTGTTGTCAGGTGTTGTTGGCATCACTGTGAGCATCTAAAGCGGCTCCTGACTGATGAGTTGATGTGCCGTACCTGTGGCTGCGGGCAGACTCTCATCTGGCAGAGGTGGATGGTGAAGATGGCATGAGAGCGAGAGCTCTGGGCGTTCATCTGCGTGCTGGCGGTGGTGCGGGAAAGAGCGCCCAGCTTCAGACACTGCAGCATCTGAGGAGAAAGCATGCAGTACTGTTATTATACTCACTAAAGCTTTCTGTTGTACTCAAGTCATCAAGTAATAAGAGCCATTTAAAGCAAATAAACATGAAGTCAACAATAGAATTACATTCACAAAGCATTTCACTTTCATCATCTGTCACGTTTCTGAGTGAAAACAAACAATCAATGAGAAATAATGTAGGGTGGAACTGTGACAGTAGCTGTTGTCAAAACAATGTAGCTTCTCCAGCAACAAGCTACTTTTTTTCCCCTAGTGTTTATATAACATTGCACTCTGCAAAAACTGCACGTTTTAATAATAATAATAATTATTATTATTATTAAAACGTGCAGTTTTTGCAGAGTGCAATGTTATATAAACACTAGGGGAAAAAAAGTAGCTTGTTGCTGGAGAAGCTACATTGTTTTGACAACAGCTACTGTCACAGTTCCACCCTACATTATTTCTCATTGATTGTTTGTTTTCACTCAGAAACGTGACAGATGATGAAAGTGAAATGCTTTGTGAATGTAATTCTATTGTTGACTTCATGTTTATTTGCTTTAAATGGCTCTTATTACTTGATGACTTGAGTACAACAGAAAGCTTTAGTGAGTATAATAACAGTACTGCATGCTTTCTCCTCAGATGCTGCAGTGTCTGAAGCTGGGCGCTCTTTCCCGCACCACCGCCAGCACGCAGATGAACGCCCAGAGCTCTCGCTCTCATGCCATCTTCACCATCCACCTCTGCCAGATGAGAGTCTGCCCGCAGCCACAGGTACGGCACATCAACTCATCAGTCAGGAGCCGCTTTAGATGCTCACAGTGATGCCAACAACACCTGACAACACGCGTGAATATTCATTAAAACTGCATGCATCATGTTGAGAGCTATAATCCTAAACTACTGGATAAAGCCATTAACAAGTTTAAGCAGGTCGCAAGTTTTAAAATATTAAAATTCATAGAGCTCAGACTGCTGCGGTACAAAACAGAGCAATTATATAAAACCACTGGCATTAGAAACATCAACACTGAACATGTCAGTGCACATTGAAAATGCAGGAACGATGAAGGTTGTGCACATAATTTTGCATTTGTAATTTAAGATGCTTGTGTTAGTGACTTAAAGCTGCAGTTGTTTCTTACTCTTCCAGGTGAACGGAGAGATGAACGGTGTGTCTGATGGCTCCATCTCTCAGCCCGAGTATGAGACGCTCACTGCTAAGTTTCACTTTGTGGACCTGGCTGGATCAGAGCGGCTCAAGCGCACAGGAGCCACAGGAGAGAGAGCGAGAGAGGGCATCTCTATCAACTGTGGCCTGGTACGTGTGGTATTCAGACTACAGGGGCTTTCACACCGGGTTAGTTTTAGAAACTAGGAACTGGCCAACAGGACGGCCCCCTGACGGCTACATTTTCCCCTAGGGCCATTTTAAGGGGATTTGCATTACCCTGTTGATCAAGACACAATGCTTTGCTGTGTTTTGACGAAATAATACTTTTATTCAGAAATTATGTGTTAAACATATACAAAATTATAGTAAAGGCTTATATTGTTAGAAAAGATTTCTATTTTGAATAAATGCTGTTCCTGAAAAAGTATCTCAGGTTCCAAAAAAATATTAAACCGCAAAAACGGTTTCAAACATTGATAATAAATCAGCATAATTAGAGTGATTTCTAAGGATCGTGTGACTAGAGACTGGAGTAATGATGCTGAAAATTCAGCTTTGCAGCACAGGAATAAATTGTATTTAAAGTATACTAAAAATAGAAAACCACTATTTTAAATTGTAATAATATTTCACAATATAAATTTTTTCTGTATTTTTGATCAAATAAATGCAGTCTTGATGAGCATGCGACGACTTTAAAAAAAAAAACAATCAAATACTAAAATCTTACTTATCCCAGACTTTTGAATGTCAGCTGTGTATGTGTGCTTATATATACTGTACATGTGTGTGTGTATGTGTATATATATAGGGCGTAGTTTTGATTGGGGGGTGGGGTGGGGGATGGTTTGAAGTGTGAACTGTTTTAGTAGAGACCCGGGTCATGATCACTCATAAGGTTTATTTATTTGTTTGATTGCTTTTATATATATATTTTTGTGAAATGGTCTTTTGTGCTATCATCTATGCAAAGTTGGTTGATAATATAACTGCAATAAAGTAACATCCTAGTTATGATAATTACTTGTTTACATAGGATATATACGCTCACCGGCCATTTTATTAGGTACACCTGTTCAATTGCTTGGTAACACAAATTGCTAATCAGCCAATTACATGCAGCAACTCAATGCATTTAGGCATCTAGATGGGGTGAAGACAACTTGAAGTTCAAACCGGGCATCAGAATGGGGAAGAAAGGGGATTTAAGTGACTTTGAACGTGGAATGGTTGTTGGTGCCAGACGGGCTGGTCTGAGTATTTCAAAAACTGCAGATCTACTGGGATTTTCACGCACAACCATCTCTAGGGTTTACAGAGAATGGTCTGAAAAAGAGAAAATATCCAGTGAGCGGCAGTTGTGTGGACGAAAATGCCTTGTTGATGTCAGAGCTCAGAGGAGAATGGGCAGACTGGTTAGTAGGGATGGGCGATATGGACTTTAAAATATATCATGATATTTCTGGTATTTATTACGATAACGATATCAGTGGTGATAATTCAGGGAATCCTGTTTCTTTAGAGAAAAGTATTATCTTTCCTATTTTTACCCAAACTAGGGTGTTGTGATCATTGAGTACACACGTAATGTAAAGACTGTTTTAATTCATACTGGAAGCCGGAGGGCGCTCCGCATATCCATAGCAGAAGAAATACTACTGACGATGCTCCAGGACGGTATCCAGTTATTACTGAATAAAACACACAACAGAGATAGAGACATTTTAACTGATGAAACCCGAGGAAAATAAACATACGATTGCACAAAATATATGGTTTATCGGTGTTCTTCAATCTTGGGTAATTTTTATAAGGAAAGTATATTTATAATGCAATGTTAATCGACATGGCCTTTATCACTGTATATAATACTGTCATTCTGTAATATGAAACCACGTCTGGTCACAAAAATAAGTATTTCAAACACTCGACTACGTTAAGTTAATTTGGAGAAAAAGCATGTCAATAAACGATATCTTTGTTGGACAACAGCTTTGTAAACAGGCTCATACACATGCAAAACTGTATCGCACACATGCTACTGTAGTACATTTATTCAGACCGATTTTTTTGTGCACTGTACAGCCCTAACCAAACCAGTTACAGCTCGAGTTCCTCATTTAGCGATATAGTCTACTCCTCCTCAATTTCACGTCCACCTTCCGCGATGTCGCTCGGCACTTTCGCACACAGAAATATGTCAACAACTAGACTATCGTTATTATCGCGGGAGGACTAATCCTTATCATGGGGAGTTTTATCCAAACGATAAGATATCGCCTATCCCTACTGGTTAGAGATGATAGAAAGGCAACAGTAACTCAAATAACCACTCGTTACAACCAAGGTATGCAGAATACCATCTCTGAACGCACAACACGTCGAACCCTGAAGCAGATGGGCTACAGCAGCAGAAGACCACACCGGGTGCCACTCCTGTCAGCTAAGAACAGGAAACTGAGGCTACAATTCGCACAGGCTCACCAAAATTGGCCAATAGAAGATTGGAAAAATGTTGCCTGGTCTGATGAGTCTCGATTTCTGCTGCGACATTCAGATGGTAGGGTCAGAATTTGGCGTAAAGAATATGAAAGCATGGATCCATCCTGCCTTGTCTCAACGGTTCAGGCTGGTGGTGGTGGTGTAATGGTGTGGGGGATATTTTCTTGGCACACTTTGGGCCCCTTAGTACCAATTGAGCATAGTTTAAACGCCACAAGCCTACCTGAGTATTGTTGCTGACCATGTCCATCCTTTTATGACTACAGTGTATCCATCTTCTGATGGCTACTTCCAGCAGGATAATGCACCATGTCATAAAGCTCAAATCATCTCAGACTGGTTTCTTGAACATGACAATGAGTTCACTTTACTCAAATAGCCTCCACAGTCACCAGATCTCAATCCAATAGAGCACCTTTGGGATGTGGTGGAATGGGAGATTTGCATCATGGATGTGCAGCCGACAAATATCTATCTATCTATCTATCTATCTATCTATCTATCTATTGCGACATTCAGATGGTAGGGTCAGAATTTGGCGTAAAGAATATGAAAGCATGGATCCATCCTGCCTTGTCTCAACGGTTCAGGCTGGTGGTGGTGGTGTAATGGTGTGGGGGATATTTTCTTGGCACACTTTGGGCCCCTTAGTACCAATTGAGCATAGTTTAAACGCCACAAGCCTACCTGAGTATTGTTGCTGACCATGTCCATCCTTTTATGACTACAGTGTATCCATCTTCTGATGGCTACTTCCAGCAGGATAATGCACCATGTCATAAAGCTCAAATCATCTCAGACTGGTTTCTTGAACATGACAATGAGTTCACTTTACTCAAATAGCCTCCACAGTCACCAGATCTCAATCCAATAGAGCACCTTTGGGATGTGGTGGAATGGGAGATTTGCATCATGGATGTGCAGCCGACAAATATCTATCTATCTATCTATCTATCTATCTATCTATCTATCTATCTATCTATCTATCTATCTATCTATCTATCTATCTATCTATCTATCTATCTATCTATCTATCTATCTAATGTGTGTGTGAGTGTTTTATATTATTTAGGCACTTATAGGCTGTAGTTTGACAGAATGTTCTAATTCAACATGCCATGGGAAGTCAATATTTTCTTACTCCTTAACAGTTCATCAGGCGCTTAAAGGGATAGTTCACCCAAAAATGAAAATTAGCCTGTTATTTACTCACCCTCGAGCCATCCTAGCTGTATTTGACTTTCTTCTTTCAGACGAATCCAATCAAAGTTATATTAAAAATTGTCCTGACACAATGTAGAATTTATATACATTTATACAGTGGGGCAAAAAAGTATTTAGTCAGCCACCAATTGTGCAAGTTCTCCCACTTAAAAAGCTGAGCGAGGCCTGTAATTTTCATCATAGGTATACCTCAACTATGAGAGACAAAATGAGAAAAAAAATCCAGAAAATCACATTGTAGGATTTTTTAAGAATTAATTGGTAAATTCCTCTGTAAAATAAGTATTTGGTCACCTACAAACAAGCAAGATTTCTGGCTCTCACAGACCTGTAACTTCTTCTTTAAGAGGCTCCTCTGTCCTCCACTCGTTACCTGTATTAATGGCATCTGTTTGAACCCGTTATCAGTATAAAAGACACCTGTCCACAACCTCAAACAGCCACACTCCAAACTCCACCATGGCCAAGACCAAAATTGTAGACCTCCACCAGGCTGGGAAGACTGAATCTGCAATAGGTAAACAGCTTGGTGTGAAGAAATCAACTGTGGGAGCAATTATTAGAAAATGGAAGACATACAAGACCACTGATAATCTCCCTCGATCTGGGGCTCCACGCAAGATCTCACCCCGTGGGGTCAAAATGATCCCAGAACCACACGGGGGGACCTGGTGAATGACCTGCAGAGAGCTGGGACCAAAGTAACAAAGGCTACCATCAGTAACACACTGCGCCGCCAGGACTCAAATCCTGCAGTGCCAGACGTGTCCCCCTGCTTAAGCCAGTACATGTCCAGGCCCGTCTGAAGTTTGCTAGAGAGCATTTGGATGATCCAGAAGAGCATTGGGAGAATGTCATATGGAAACCAAAAAACCAAAATAGAACTTTTTGGTAAAAACTCAACTTGTCGTGTTTGGAGGAGAAAGAATGCGGAGTTGCATCACCATACCTCCATACCTACTGTGAAGCATGGGGGTGGAAACATCATGCTTTGGGGCTGTTTATCTGCAAAGGGACCAGGATGACTGATCCGTGTAAACGAAAGAATGAATGGGGCCATGTATCGTGAGATTGAGTGAAAACCTCCTTCCATCAGCAAGGGCACTGAAGATGAAACGTGGCTGGGTCTTTCAGCATGACAATGATCCCAAACACACCGCCCGGGCAACGAAGGAGTGGCTTCGTAAGAAGCATTTCAAGGTCCTGGAGTGGCCTAGCCAGTCTCCAGATCTCAACCCCATAGAAAATCGTTGGAGGGAGTTGAAAATCTGTGTTGCCCAGCGACAGCCCCAAAACAATACTGCTCTAGAGGAGATCTGCATGAAGGAATGGGCCAAAATACCAGCAACAGTATGTGAAAACCTTGTGAAGACTTACAGAAAAAGTTTGACCTCTGTCATTGCCAACAAAAGGTATATAACAAAGTATTGAGATGAAATGTTGTTATTGACCAAATACTTATTTTCCACCATAACTTGCAAATAAATTCTTTAAAAATCCTACAATATGCACAATTGGTGGCTGACTAAAGACTTTTTTTCCCCACTGTATATACATACAGCGGTTAAAATAAGTATTGAACACATTGCCATTTTTCTCAGTAAATATATTTCTAAAGGTGCTGATGACAGGAAATTTCACCAGATGTTGGTAACAACCCAAGTAATCCATACATACAAAGAAAACAATACAAATAAGTTGGAATGACCCAGGGGAGAAGTATTGAACACGCTTACTTAAATCTAGTTAATACTTCGTACAAAAGCCTTTGTTGTTAATGACTGCTTCAAGACGCCTCCTGTTTGGAGAAACTAGTCGCATGCATTGCTCAGGTGTGATTTTGGCCTATTCTTCCACACAAACAGTCTTCAAATCTTGAAGGTTCCATGGCCTCTTCTATGAACTCTGATGTTTAGTTCTTTCCATAGATTTTCTATTGGATTCAAGTCAGGTGATTGGCTGGGCCATTCTAGCAGCTTTACTTTCTTTCTCTGAAACCAATTGAGAGTTTCCTTGGCTGTGTTTGGGATCATTGACTTGCTGAAATATCCACCCTTGTTTCATCTCCTTCATCAACATTTTTCCATTCATCCTTCCTTCAATTATATGAATTTTGCCAGTGCTACCCCATGATGTTTTGGGGTGATGTGCAGTGCCATTTGATCGCCAAACATGGTGTGCATTATGGCATCAAAGAGTGAAATTTGTCTCATCTGACCAGACTATATTCTCCCAGTATTTCACAGGCTTGTCTAAATGTTGTGCAGCAAACTTTAAAAGAGCTTCAACATGCTTTTTCTTCAGCAATAGAGCCTTGCATGGTGAGCATGCATACAGGCCACGGCGGTTGAGTGCATTACTTATTGTTTTCTTTGAAACAATTGTACCGGCTAATTCCAGGTCTTTCTGAAGCTCTTCACAAGTGATCCTTGGCTCTTGGACAACTCTTCTAATAATTATTTTCACTCCTCTGTCAGAAATCTTGCGAGGAGCACCTGGTCTTGGCCGGTTTATGGTGAAATTGTTCTTTCCACTTCCGGATTATGGCCCCAACAGTGTTCACTGGAACATTCAGAAGTATAGAAATCCTTCTGTAACCAATGCCATCAGTATGTTTTGCAACAACAAGGTTGCGAATGTCTTGAGAAAGCTCTTTGCTTTTACCCATGATAAAATGTTTCTTTTGTGACATGAGGGGTCATGAGACACCTTTTTATAGGCCATCAGTTGGGACTGAACCAACTAATATTAATTTCCACTGACTAGGGGCAGGATTGCTTTCTAATTACTGATAGATTTCTGCTGGTGTCTTGGCTTTCCATGCCTTCTTGCACCTCCCTTTCTTCATGTGTTTAATACTTTTCCCCCGTGTCATTCCACTTTATTACACGGAACTTAATTTCTGAACATATTTGTTTTGCTTTCTTTGTATGTATGGATTACTTGGATTGATACCGTCATCTGGTGAAAATTTCCTGTCAACCGCACCTTTAGAAATATATTTACTGAGAAAAATGGTGATGTTGAATACTTTTTTTTTTTTTTACCCGCTGTATATTTTATTATATTTTGTTTGCAAATATAAGTTTTTAGTAAGCAAATTAATAGTAAATACAAATGTGTTTATATTTCTAGTCAAATGCTGGCAATTTTCAAAATGCTAAAATATTAGATTGTTTAAATGGTTTTATTTTCAGTCAATATATGATTCCCATACTTTCATTTGTTGCTTCATAGGTTTGATGATTTGAGTATTATTATTATTATTATTAATAATAATAATAATAATAATAATATATTTAAACTATATTTGTTCAAATAAAATGTGGAAAATATTAAAATAGTTATAAATATAATAAATTATGAAAATAATAAACAAATAGATGTTTCCAAACTTGTTTATTTAGATCATGACTGTATTGACATTAAATGGTTAGTTCACCCAAAAATGAAAATTAGCCCATTATTTACTCACCCTCAAGCCATCCTAGGCATCTATGACTTCCTCCTTTCAGATGAGTCCAGTCGGAGTTATATTAAAAATCGACTTTGATCTTCCAAGCTGTTTAATGGCAGTCAGCGGCAGTGTTGCAGTTCATCAGTCCAAAAGAAGTTAAATAAACGCATCCATCCATAATAAAAAGTGTCTCACACGGCTCCGGGGGGTGAACAAAGGCCTCCTGTAGCGAATCGATGTGTTTTTGTAAGAAAAATATCCATATTCAAAACATAATAATCACTTTAATCTATCTTGCGCTAACAGTTGGAAGCAGCTCCAGGCGGATGAAGTAAGATGTTAGTGTTGCGCATGCGCCGGTGAGTCTTGTGAAAACCAACGTTTGTTTACAGGAGCAAAAGAAGCAAAGTTTCCTTACTTTAGCAAAGGAAAACCAGTCTCCTCTTGGTTTATATTGAAATCCTCCGACATTCTTCTTTACAAATCCTCGTTTTGTACTTCTAATTAGTGACCATTGTTTTGTTTTGATCTCTCTGCTGCGCTTCCGCGTGCATCACTTCTGAGCGGCGCATGAGCAACGCCGACATCCTACGTCATCCGCCCGGAGCTGCTTCCGTGTACGACAGTGAGCGCAAGCTAGATTAAATTGATTATTATGTTTTAAAAATGGTTATTTTTCTTACAAAAACATATCGATTCGCTACAGGAGGCCTTTGTTCACCCCTCGGAGCTCTGTGAGGCACTTTTTGTTATGGATGGATGCGCTTTATTTCACATCTTTTGGACTGATGCACTACAACACCCGCTGACTGCCATTAAACAGCTTGGAAGATCAAAGACAATTTTTAACATAACTCCCGACTGGATTCGTCTGAAAGAAGAAAGTCATATACACCTAGGATGCTTTGAGGGTGAGTAATTCATGAGCTAATTTTCATTTTTGGATAAACTAACTCTTCAAATTACCAGTCCCTTTAACCATGACACTCGAGAAAGCTCTCAGAACTAAGCCAACACCTCAACACCACAAAACTGACTTTGTCAGGGATTTTCAAAGTCCTAGACTTCATTATAATTGTAATAGTTTTTTTTTTTCAACTGAGTCAAGTTTATCCATGTTAACTAAGGTGTGAAATTTATGTTGCATTAGTTCTGCATCCTTCTACATTCATTACTGCACTCTCACTGTCTTGCTGGGTAAAGTTGTCCGAGTAGATGAAGGGAAGGAAAGGTAATTACATTGTGAGAGAGTTCTGAAGTAGAGCTAAAGACTGAAAGAGAGCCAAAAGAGCCATTGTTCGGAGAGCTCAGAGCCCAATAGAGCTCTATTGTTTTTAAAGCCTAGTTACACATTTGTAAGAGAGCCCATTTAAAAGCTTTTAATCTTAGATTGCAGCATGCGATGGAGCGTGACCGGGTCTCTCTCTCTCTCTCTCTCTCTCTCTCTGTGTGTGTGTGTGTGTGTGTGTGTTTGGCAGCTGGCCCTGGGTAATGTGATCAGTGCATTGGGAGATCAGAGTAAGAAGGCAGGCCATGTGCCTTACAGAGACTCCAAACTCACACGCCTGCTGCAGGACTCGCTGGGAGGAAACAGGTAAGGTCGGACACACACCCAAACGCACCAGAAGTGTCACATTCTTAGGAACCCTGTGTCAAATTAAAAGATGTTTTTGGAGCAGAGCTGCTGTGTCGAGTTGCACACACATGTTCTTGTATCATACTAGGTAACTCCCTTTGAGTTTTATTGTTCTTAAATTAAGCTAATTATAATTACTATAGATTAACCATACCCCTAATTTGTGACATTTTAGATATATAAAATATATTTACAGTAGTCCTGTTATGAAGCTATGAAGTTTTTCTGGTTGTAATGAAGATGGCTTTGTGGACCTCCCACTGACTTCTATTGTTTTTAAGAAACTGATCATTATAATTACTGTACCACACCTTTTACATGACACATTGTACACCTGTTATTGTTATATGTGAAATAAGACATTGTTCAGTTTCCTTATGTAGCTTTTAGTACACAAAAACAGCAAAACTTGACAAGCACATACACATTTTGTTATATTTTACATTTTATGTTAAATTAAGATAATTATAAATGCTACAGACCTACTTTACTACTTCTAAGCCCACCTCTATTATGACACTTTTATCAGAATCAGAATCAGAAGGGCTTCATTACCAAGTAAGTTTACACACACAAGGAATTTGACTTGACGACAGGAGCTTCCAGTGCAGAAGAAAGTACAGACGTACATAGGAATAACATAGTAGGGATGGAATATAACACTAATATAAGAAAAAACTGAATTAAATAATGTACTATATACAGAATAGAAGTATAGGAAAAACATTGTAATTGTTTAAATAAATATACAGATATGTTATAAGTGTGCAGTTTACCCAATTTTGGATTCTGTGTCAGTTGTGATGGACGATGTATAATTATGAAAGTTTAATTGCTCAGCCTGAATATAGCCTATGGGAAAAAAAACTGTTCTTGTGCCTGGCTGTTCTGGTGGTCAGTGCTCTGTAGAGTTCGAAGAGAGAGTGGGCTGGGTGTGAGGGGTACAAGGTGATTTTCTTAGCCCTTTTCCTCACTCTGGAGATGTAAAGATCTTGGAGACTGGGCAGAGGGGCACCGATAATCCTCTCAGCAGTCCTGACTGTCCGCTGTAGTCTCTTGATGTCTGATTTTGTAGCTGAACCAAACCAGGCAGTCATGGATCAACACTGGACAGACTCAATGATAGCAGAGTAGAACTGTTTCAGCAGCTCCTGTGGCAGGTTGAATTTCCTCAGCTGGTGAAGGAAGTACAACCTCTGCTGGGCCTTTTTATAATGGAATCGATGTGAGTGTCCCACTTCAGGTCCTGAGAGATAGTCAGTGCCCAGGAATCTGAATGACTCTACTGCAGCCACAGTGCTGTTCATGATGGTGAGTGGGAAGAGTGCTGGGGGGTTTCTCCTGAAGTCCACGATCATCACCACCGTTTTGAGCGTGTTGAGCTCCAGGTTATTTTGACCGCACCAGACAGCCAGCTCTTTTACCTCCTGTCTGTAAGCAGACTCGTCTCCATCCTTGATAAGGCCGATGACTGTAGTGTCGTCCGCAAACTTCAGGAGCTCGACAGAGGGGTCCTTTGAAGTGCAGTCATTCGTGTAGAGGGAGAAGAGCAGTGGGGAGAGAACACAACCCTGAGGGGCACCAGTGCTGATGGTGATAGTCCTGGATGTGAGTTTGCCCAGCCTCACAAGCTGCTGCCTGTCTGTCAGGGAGCTGGTGATCCACTGACAGATGGAGGTGGGCACAGAGAACTGTGTCAGTTTGTCTGCGAGAAGGTCATGCATGATGATATTGAAGGCCGAACTGAAGTCCACAAATAGGATCCTTGTGTAATTCCCAGTTTTGTCAAGGTGTTGCAGGATGTAATGCGAGTAGGGATGGAATATAACACTAATATAAGAAAAAACTGAATTAAATAATGTACTATATACAGAATAGAAGTATAGGAAAAACATTGTAATTGTTTAAATAAATATACAGATATGTTATAAGTGTGCAGTTTACCCAATTTTGGATTCTGTGTCAGTTGTGATGGACGATGTATAATTATGAAAGTTTAATTGCTCAGCCTGAATATAGCCTATGGGAAAAAAAACTGTTCTTGTGCCTGGCTGTTCTGGTGGTCAGTGCTCTGTAGAGTTCGAAGAGAGAGTGGGCTGGGTGTGAGGGGTACAAGGTGATTTTCTTAGCCCTTTTCCTCACTCTGGAGATGTAAAGATCTTGGAGACTGGGCAGAGGGGCACCGATAATCCTCTCAGCAGTCCTGACTGTCCGCTGTAGTCTCTTGATGTCTGATTTTGTAGCTGAACCAAACCAGGCAGTCATGGATCAACACTGGACAGACTCAATGATAGCAGAGTAGAACTGTTTCAGCAGCTCCTGTGGCAGGTTGAATTTCCTCAGCTGGTGAAGGAAGTACAACCTCTGCTGGGCCTTTTTATAATGGAATCGATGTGAGTGTCCCACTTCAGGTCCTGAGAGATAGTCAGTGCCCAGGAATCTGAATGACTCTACTGCAGCCACAGTGCTGTTCATGATGGTGAGTGGGAAGAGTGCTGGGGGGTTTCTCCTGAAGTCCACGATCATCACCACCGTTTTGAGCGTGTTGAGCTCCAGGTTATTTTGACCGCACCAGACAGCCAGCTCTTTTACCTCCTGTCTGTAAGCAGACTCGTCTCCATCCTTGATAAGGCCGATGACTGTAGTGTCGTCCGCAAACTTCAGGAGCTCGACAGAGGGGTCCTTTGAAGTGCAGTCATTCGTGTAGAGGGAGAAGAGCAGTGGGGAGAGAACACAACCCTGAGGGGCACCAGTGCTGATGGTGATAGTCCTGGATGTGAGTTTGCCCAGCCTCACAAGCTGCTGCCTGTCTGTCAGGGAGCTGGTGATCCACTGACAGATGGAGGTGGGCACAGAGAACTGTGTCAGTTTGTCTGCGAGAAGGTCATGCATGATGATATTGAAGGCCGAACTGAAGTCCACAAATAGGATCCTTGTGTAATTCCCAGTTTTGTCAAGGTGTTGCAGGATGTAATGCGGTCCCATGTTGACTGCATCGTCCACAGACCTGTTTGCTCCGTAGGCAAACTGAAGAGAATCCAGCAAGGGTCCAGTGATGTCCTTCAGGTAGGCCAGGACCAGTCGCTCAAATGACTTCATGACCACAGATGTGAGAGCAACAGGTCTGTAATCATTAGGTCCAGTGATTTAAAAAATTTTTTTTTTATTTTTTATTTTTTTGGGGACCGGAATGATGGTGGAGCGTTTGAAGCAGCAGGGAACTTCACTCAGCACCAGTGATTTGTTGAAGATCTGTGTGAAGATGGGGGCCAGTTGGTCAGCGCAGACTTTTAAACAGGCAGGTGAGACACCGTCTGGGCCTGAAGCTTTCTTAGATTTCTGCTTCCTGAAGACCCGATTCACATCCTCTACACAGACCTTAAGTGCAGGTTGAATGGTGGGAAAATGAGGGAGGGGGATTGCAGGGGGGGTAGGTGAATGTATGAGGTGCAGATCAGAGCGAATGGGGGGTGGTAGACTGGCCTTTTCAAATCGACAGTAAAACACATTCAGATCGTCAGCCAGTTGTGTGGCGGTGGTGTCTTGTACAAGGGGATGTTTTTGAGACCAGTCCATACTGACGCCGGATCGTTAGCTGAAAACTGTTTTCTCAGCTTTTCATGGTAGTTTTTTTTTTAGCCACTCTGATCTCCTTTGTTAGTCTGTTCCTGGCCTGGCTATACAAGATTTTATACCCACTTCTGTAAGCATCTTCTTTGGCATTACAAAGTTGTTTGAGTTTACGAGTAAACCTCGTTTTATCATTATTGAATGATAAGAATGTCCTGGTGGGGATGCACATATCCTCACAGAAACTGATATAAGAAGTTACAGTCTTCGTGAACTCATCCAAATCGGTGGCAGCAGCTTCAAAAACACTTCAATCAGTGAGGTCGAAACAGGCTTGTTTGTAAATCCCGCTCTGCTTAATTAGTCCATCTTTTAACAGTCCTTAATACAGGTTTAGCTGATTTCAGTTTCTACCTGTAGGTCGGTATAAGAAGAACCAAACGGTGATCAGAGAGCCCCAAAGCTGCTCGTGGGACAAAGTGATATGCATCCTTTATTGTGGATCATTTATTTATTGTTACTCTTATGCTTATTCACATGAAATAATGGAATTTTTTTTAATGACGTACTGCAGAATTTAAACAAGAAAGAGGCATGATTAATTAAGATCATTTAAAAATTTTTTTTATTTAATATCTTTATTTTTAAAAATTAATTTATAATAATTAATCTCAGTAAAGGTTAAACAGATCCAATTCGGAATTTACAAGTCAGGGGACATGATTAATTGAGATTTTATTTAAATGTATTTATTTATTATAATTATAATATATTATTAATTTGTATTTTTAAATAATTAATCTCAGAAAATTAACATTGAATTAACAGCCCTAATTATTTCAGAATGTACATACAAGTCAGGGGGTATAATTAATTGGGATTGTTTTAAAATAATTTATTTTAGATATTTATTTATTTTATAATTAAAAAAATGTTAATTTGTATTTTTAAATAATTAATCTCGGAAATTGAACATTAAATTGACAGCCCTAATTAATTCATAATGTACATACAAGTACAGGGGGCATGATTACTTAAGATTTTTAAATATTTTATTGATAGATAAATATCAATAAAATACTTTTTCCATTTTAATGTATTTTCAAATCATCAGTTTCAGTAAATTAACATTACATTGACAGCCCTAATTATTTAGTTCCCTGTATGATACTATATCTAGAAAGCTTTATCTTTTGTCATTGAGACTTTGTTTGTCTTTATCCTTTGTTTAGAGGTCTCAGATTATACATGCAAGTTCACACACTTGTAAACGTCACTGTGCACAGTGCAGTCATTGTGCCTTGAAGGTTAATGCATGCTAACAGTGCACTGCATCAATCTGCATGGAGGCACAGTGCTGGGTCACTCAGCCCACAGTGGACGGCACAGGCTGCCCATATATTCTTATGATGTGGGTTCACTTCAGACTCAGAGGGGGAGTTGATTAAATTAAACATGAGGGACTGCAGACAGAGGCGCTCCTTAAAGACATTCAATCCCAGTCGCATACACAAAAATATGCGGGCAGCATGTGCAGTCCATGAAAGCGTGTTTGTGTTTATCTGTCATCTGTTTGTGTTTTATCTTTCTGCCTTGTGTGTGTGTGTGTTTGTGAAAGACCCTTATGAATTCCTGGCCTCTTGCATTCTCATCTACTTTATATCTGTCTAGTCGGACCGTGATGATTGCCTGCGTGAGCCCCTCTGACCGTGACTTCATGGAGACCCTGAACACACTGAAGTACGCCAATCGGGCTCGCAACATCAAGAACAAAGTGATGGTGAACCAGGACAAAACCAGCCAGCAGATCAGCGCATTACGAGCAGAGATCGCACGTCTACAGATGGAGATCATGGAGTACAAAGCGGTAAGGAGAAGGACCTGGAGGGTCGTGGCATTCTGGGAAGAGTTAGTCTCCAGCAGGCGTCTTTTCCCACCATCAGAAACCCTGAAATGAACCGTTCAAATGGACAATCATTTACCCGCCCCCCCTTATAAAAAAAAAGTTCTTCTGTGGAATAAAAAGAGATGTTTTGTAGAATATCCAGGCTGTTCATTTAAAAAGAATGAAAGTGAATTGGTGACTGGGCTGTCGAGCTCCTAATATTACAAAAAAAAAGTACACAAGTATTCCATACTACTTGTGCACTAAATTCCAAGTGTTCTGAAGCCAAGTTTCCAAAACAGCCCGAAAAAAGTAATTATTCACTAAAAATCTCGCCCTCCACCAACACGATCTCTTGACAATTTTTAAAGCATCTTTATAAATATTTGTAAGAATTTGTTACACATTAGCCTGATAGTTGGGTTTAGTTGATGTTTTATCTTCAAATTTTACAAATTCGTATGAATTCGGTAGGTTTGTATGAATTAGTACAATCTCTTTTTGGACAATCTGCTCGCACATCTCGTGAGGAATGGTCTCACCTTCATGGTGACTTGTAACCTATCAATCATACAAATGCATATGATTCTACACAAACATGTATGATTTGTACGTAAAACGTCACTATGAATTCGTAGCTCCTTTTTTGCACATTCACTCACACACTCTCACACACTTCTTGAGTTTAGTTTTAGGGGTAGGGTTATGGGTTGACCTTTTATGGTGATATTTTATCCTACACATTTTGAGGGATGGGTTAGGTTCGGACCTTCATGGTGACTTTTTACCTATAAATCATACAAATTCATATGGTCTCTTTCGCACATTTTATACGATCTACTCACAACTTTTGAGGGTTAGGTTCAGAGGTGGGCCTTCATGGTGACGTTTTTTTCTACAATTCATACGAATTCATAGGATCATATTCAAAGACATTCGATTTGTAGGTAAAATTAACTAAATTAATTCGTCAAATTAATCACGAAAACGTCAGCACCTTTTTTGTATGATTTTGTATGATCCATTTGCACACCTCTTGAGGGACAGGTTAGGGTTGGACCTTAAAGGGGTCATATCTGACTCCACTGTGATGTGACCCCCTCTCTCTCTCTCGCTCGCGCGCGCACGCATACGCACCTCTCTCGCACGCACGCACGCACGCACACACACCGCTCTCTCTCTCTCAAATCAGCTTATAACACTCCAAAGAGAAAGGCAAACTTGAAATCGCATCATATGACCCCTTTAATGGTGACTTTTTACCCTTAAATCTTTCAAATTCATATAATCTTACGATATAATATAATGATATAATTGTGATACATATAATCGTATTTGTACGTAAAACATCATTATGAATTGGTTGCGAATTCTTATGATCTCTTTTGCACATTTTTGTAAAATTACTCAAACACCTCTTAAAAGGCAGGGTAGATGATTTGGTTCAAAACACTTTTTGTTATACTGGTTGAAAGTCTCTTCACATCTCGTGACTAAGTTAAGTGGTCTAAATGCATTTTATATCATCTGTGGAAGGTGTAGAATCATAAAATGTTCGTCCAATCAAATTCCGCGGTCCGATGACTACGATAGGCTGTCATTCCTGCCTGTAAACGTATGTATTTGCATACCTCGGCACACCCTGTTCACACAGAAATGATACATCATCAGCGCTTTCATTGCGCTCTGAGTGGGAATGGAAGGCATTATTATTGTAATATTATGCGCTTCGTACTGTAGTGTTTTCTCACCGGTGAATGAGACATGAGGTAATCTGACTCCACATTTGGGCTGCATTATGCAAATATTTCCACATAGTGAGGTAGATATGTGGGGGCATGTTAGAATGAGCCGTTTTAGGGGGGCGTGGCAGAGTCTTAACTTTGATAAAGAATATCTCTTTGGTTTTGAGACTTTAGTCTTTGCAACTTCAGGGATCTTATCTATGCACAATCAGCTTATAACACTCCAAAGAGAAAGGCAAACTTGAAATCGCATCATATGACCCCTTTAATGGTGACTTTTTACCCTTAAATCGTTCAAATTCATATAATCTTACGATATAATATAATGATATAATTGCGATACATATAATCGTATTTGTACGTAAAACATCATTATGAATTGGTTGCGAATTTTTATGATCTCTTTTGCACATTTTTGTAAAATTACTCAAACACCTCTTAAAAGGCAGGGTAGATGATTTGGTTCAAAACACTTTTTGTTATACTGGTTGAAAGTCTCTTCACATCTCGTGACTAAGTTAAGTGGTCTAAATGCATTTATATAATCTGTGGAAGGTGTAGAATCATAAAATGTTCGTCCAATCAAATTCCGCGGTCCGATGACTACGATAGGCTGTCATTCCTGCCTGTAAACGTATGTATTTGCATACCTCGGCACACCCTGTTCACACAGAAATGATACATCATCAGCGCGTTCATTCTGAGTATGGGTCACCATACTTGGCCACATGTCACTTCACTCACTTTTTTTTTTTTTTCATGTTGAGGGGAATTATACCATGATAATTACACATACTCCACGGAAGATAGATCCGAAAAGATTTTCACGCATGAAAATGTATTTGTGAACATTTTAGGGTCACATCTAAAATGAAGTGATATTGTCAGACTACAATATCCACAGCATATAGGAATTAATTAATGCTATTATATAAGAGACCCTGCTCTAGGACGTCTCAGGTGGTCTTGACACTTCATGTCTATGTCTGGCAATCTCTTCTGATGGTAGCAGAGGTCTTGTAACTTATTCCTCTGATTGTCTATTTGGAAGACTTTAATATGCTTGTCCGCTTCTGTTTTATGTTGCTGAGCCAATAAGAGGCTGTAAAATGTGCCAGAATTAGATTTATCTCTGTGTTTGTGCCAGTATGTCCTGACCGACTCAAACTAAGGACAGCAAGCTGGCACAGACACAAGTATCTCTCAGTAAATCGTCTGCTATAATGAATATGACTACAGGAACGTCCCGCTCTCAGATTGGCTCTAATGTAGCCGTGATGGGAGAGAGAGCATGGGTAATTTGTGAAGCCAACACTACAGAATTACTTCTGGAAGTCTCAGCTGACCTGCAAAGGCTAAAAAGCAGAAGACCCAGGATAAATCTCTGTCCCCGTGGTGCGATTACATGACTATTAAATGACGTTCACGTCCGATATTGGTGGAATTGTCGGAATTATTGCCCCGATCCCTTATTTTTTAGTGTTCAAACTACTGTGATGAATGTCCTATTGATTACATCAGTGCTTTGTTTATGCATGTATTTGTCTATAGGAACTTTAATAATAGATCAGCATTTTTTTTCTTCAGTCCGGAGAAAGAAAAAGGTTTGAAGAAGAGGGCCAAGCTTTATCCTCAGGAAAATGGAGAAAAGAGCGAGAATGGGCTGAGCAGGGAAAACCAAGAGCGAAGAGAAAATGGAGATGGAGACTCTGATAATGAACCTGAAGAGGTGAGAGAAAGGAGATGTATTCATTATGTTCTAACTGGGTCTGCTGTTTACAAAGATTTGAGATGGTTTTCAAAAAAAGTCGTAATATATTCTGTGGAAAAAATCTTCTGCATGGCAATGTTTTGAGAATGAAGCAGTAATAATGCAAGAATTATGTTTTACGGCAGTGTGAATAAATATGAGAATAAAGAAGTTGAATATTATATAAATGACACATTGCACAGTGATTTAATAAAAATAAAATTCTAAAATGACAAGAATTATGTCTTAGTTTTTAAGGCTTAAAAATGGAAAAGCGGAGTAATATTTTAATGTACGGAGATCTAATATGAGAAAAAATAATATTGCAATAACGTTTTTATTTTGTGTTTTATGAATATAAAGGCACAGGAAAAGTTGTAATATTTTGAGGGAAAAAATCCTCAAAGGAGTTTCAAGAATAAAATTTGATCAATAAAGCAGTATTTTATGAGAATAACGCTGTGCTGCAAGAATAATAATAAAAAAAGGTATTGCAAGAAGAATACATTTGTAGTATTGTGACTTAATATGAAAGAAAAGGTTATATGGTAGTGTTTTAATAAAATCATAAAATGACAGAAATAAGGTTGTAATATAACAGACATAATAAAACACTGCTAGATGCACTGCTGCTTTTTCTCAAAAATATTAAGTTGTAATCTTACATGAATAAAGCTTTAACATTTTGAGATAAAATGATTAGGCATAATATATATGATTTTTTTTTTTTACTTAAAGCCTTATGTATAATGCATTATAAAAGTAGTTTTGTCTAATAATGCTTTGAACAATCTCATGAATAATTGTAACCACAGTTAATACATTATAACGCTTATCAATTCATTGTTACACTATGCATTTTAAATTCGGTTATTATTATGATTTACGTCAAGATGTAATGTATTACAACGCACATTATGAATAATGTTACACCTTTTACAACTCTTTATAATGCATTATACATAAAGGCTTTAAGTAAAGTATTACCAAAAATTTTAAATGTTATATAATAATTTTTTGTGGTTCGTTGAGTACAAAAGACAATCTTAAGGTTTGATCTCTCTGTGCAGGATGGCATGTATCCTCTTCAGGAGGATGATCCCGGCGAGAGCGGCTGTGATGAGGAGGAGGAGGAGGAGGAAGAGGAGACCAGGGAGGAGGAAGAGTTCGACAGCGATGAGAGCCTGGTGGATTCCGACTCGGACTCAGACGAGAAAGGTGCATTCGGAGATGCGTTTATTAGGGCTGTCAAATTGGCCGAAAAACGAAATTTGAATTTTGTACTAAAATATTATCAATATTTGAATTTAAAAGGCATAATTTCTGTTAGGGGCAAAGCTTTTGGCTTCTCTCATAAGGCCACAAGAGGGCGCATCGAGCAAAATATTACTAATGCACATTTCTTCAAAGCAATAAAATAACACGAACAATCTTTTAAAAAAGTGCATAATGTTTAAAATAATGTTTCTATAATTAATTACGTTGCTTAAACAATTAGAAACAAAAAGCATCATGCATGTATGTATAGTTTAATACTAAGGACTGAAAACAAAAGAGCACTTTTTTCATTTAAAAACACGAGTTGGAGTGGGATGCAAAAAAACACCATAAAGTTGTGATGTTTTTTTTTTAAAAGTTGAACTTACATTAATTTTACATGGCTTTCTAAACATTCGGCTGTCTTTTGCGAGACGCGAGTGCAAGGGTGATAGATGTCCCTCTAGAAAATGCAATAAATATGTGTTCTGTGTGAATGGCTTGGTTTTAGTTTTGACGTAAACAACATCATCTCCGCATTGATGTTCTCTTTTTCTGCGATATTTTGAATGAGCAGTGCCGCCCGCATCCAGTGTGTTTAACTGGATAGGCTTAAAAAAGCATTAAAATGCAATGACACCTACATCGTCATCGCATCTTGTGTGCCACTGTTAACGCTGCCTGACGCACACCTAAAATTCGAATGCAACGCTTTTGCGTTCGAATGTGGATTTTTATTTTAAATTCGACAAATATTTCGAAATTCGAAATTTTCAAAAACAGCCCTAGTGTTTATTACAAACGTCCAGTCAGTCCCTTTCATTCACACTGACCTTGTAATCTGTGGTGCCTCATCTCTCAGTCAGCTTACAGGCCGATCTTGCGGACCTGACGTGTGAGATCGAGATCAAGCAGAGACTCATCGATGAGCTGGAGAACAGCCAGCGGCGGCTCCTGACGCTGAGGAGCCAGTATGAGGAGAAACTGATTCTGCTCCAGAACAAGATCAGAGACACACAGCTGGAGAGAGACCGCGTGCTGCACAACCTCAGTGAGCATCTGCCAGCTTCACATCTGTTTGTGGAGACATCGTTTCTGTTGTTTGTGATGCATTTCTGGTATTTCTCCAAGGCAAAAGGCCCCAAAAGTATATAAATGGGTGTTTTAAAGGGTCCGTTAAACCATCGGTGTTGTTCCAAACCCATAAGAAATTAGTGTCTTTGGAATGTAAACGATAATTTTAATAATCCCAGTAAACAATTCTTCCATAATTTTCTGTGTGATTTTAGTGTCCATGGAGAACTACACTGAGGAGAAAGCCAGTAAGATCAAATCCGAGTATGAGAAGCGTCTGAAGGAGATGAACCGAGACCTGCTGAAGCTGCAGGCTGCTCAGAAGGAGCACGCACGTCTGCTGAAGAACCAGGACCGCTACGAGAGAGAGCTCAAGAAACTGCAGTCTGAGGTGGCCGAGATGAAGAAAGCCAAGGTGAGCGCTGGAGCTTTATTTTTTAGAAATACACTGCCCCCTTGAGGCCATCAGAAGAAAAACAAAACATTTCATTGGTTTCATCAGCTGCAGAGATAATTGACTAATTGAGAATGAAGACATTTACAGTGTCAAACTTTTATTTTAAGAGTGTAATTAAAGTACCAAGTTTTCCCATGAGTGTAGTTTTTTTTTTTTCTTCCATGAAAGTAGATGATCCCTCAGGCATATAGTGTGTGTGTCCCAGTTTGCATGAAAGTTTGTATGCTGGTAGTGGAAAAATACTTGCTTTTTTGGTATTGGAAAAGTGGCTACACACACACACACAGACTAATGTTCAAAAGTTTGGGGCAGGGTTATTATGGTTAAGTAAAACTAAAACTTAAATTAAAAGTAACATCATGAAAAGTCATTATTTCTATAATAATAAAAAAAAATAACTAAAATATACAAACTCTTCTTTTATTTTATCTAGTTGCAACATTTTTCAGTTTAGTTTAACTTGATGTACTTAAAATAATTAAATTAAAATTGAAAATTAATCAACTATGTACACATACAGTGGTGTGAAAAAGTGTTGGCCCCCTTCCTGATTTCTTATTTTTTTGCATGTTTGTCACACTTTAATATTTAAGATCATCAAACAAATTTAAATATTAGTCAAAGATAACGCAAGTAAACACAACATGCAGTTTTTAAATGAAGGTTTTTATTATTAAGGGAAAACAAAATCCCAAACTACATGGCCCTGTGTGAAAAAGTGTTTGCCCCCTAAACCTAATAACTGGTTGGGCCACCCTTAGCAGCAACATCTGCAATCAAGCGTTTGCGATAACTTGCAATGAGTCTGTTACAGCGCTGTGGAGGAATTTTGGGCCACTCATCTATGCAGAATTGTTGTAATTCAGCCACATTGGAGGGTTTTCGAGCATGAACCACCTTTTTAAGGTCATGCCACAGCATCTCAATAGGATTCAGGTCAGGACTTTGACTAGGCCACTCCAAAGTCTTCATTTTGTTTTTCTTCAGCCATTCAGAGGTGGACTTGCTGGTGTGTTTTGGATCATTGTCCTGCTGCAGAACCCAAGTTCGCTTCAGCTTGAGGTCACGAACAGATGGCCGGACATTCTCCTTCAGGATTTTTTGGTAAACAGCAAAATTCATAGTTCCATTTATCACAGCAAGTCTTCCAGGTCCTGAAGCAGCAAAACAGCCCCAGACAATCACACTACCACCACCATATTTTACTGTTGGCATGATGTTCTTTTTCTGAAATGCAGTGTTACTTTTACGCCAGACGTAATGGGACACACACCTTCCAAAAAGTTCAACTTTTGTCTCGTCAGTCCACAGAGTATTTTCCCAAAAGTCTGGGGGATCATCAAGATGTTTTCTGGCAAAACTGAGACGAGCCTTTATGTCGGCCGGCCACTCCTGGGAAGGTTCTCCACTGTTCCATGTTTTTGCCATTTGTGAATAATGGCTCTCACTGTGGTTCGCTGGAGTCCCAAAGCTTTAGAAATGGCTTTATAAC